GGTAACCTGGCGCTCCATTGTATCCTGTGTCACGATTAAAAATGAAAGCCTATTCACTACTAGTTTGGTTTCTTCTATCAATAGAACGAGGGGTATCTAACAACACGATAGATACATATTGTACATACTGCTCTGAGATTCTTTTTCTGGCATCGTCTTGAGCTTTCTCATGACCTTGTTACTATAAACGGAGATTAGTAATATACTATTAACCTCTAAATTCATAACTCTACCTCTGCTATTCGTCCTTGTGACTATACTGTTAGTACTGGTGGCAGGTCAGTGAGTTCACGTCAGAATTGAAGAACGTTGTCTCCAAATATTGACCTTTCTTGTGACCAACTTCCATACATCGAACGATTTTCCTTATCTTCCCCCACGTTTCGGCAGTTTTTCAGGTGTCTAATAATGTCTAATGAGCGGTTATCCGGCCACTTTATTGTACTAGTTCTATTAAGTTTGGCAGTTATTAGTGGTTACTTATGTCTTGTGATCTGTGTATATACGTTTACGTGAGTGCATTAGAGTCTTTGAAACCAATAACTATCAAATTACCTAACAGAATGCTGGTTTATTACAGTGTCCAAAATAATAAAAATAAAATTCCAGTACTAAGAGAAAATGATTGTTTGAAGAAAGTAAACTGATCAGTAATGCAAACAGTGTGAGCCAACAGAGCTGAAGGAATAACGAACAAACAGAGAGAATAGAAATAAAGGCATTAATAATCTGATAGTACGTGAGAACGATGGCACCGGATAAGTTACGAGAAATGCATCAGGCACGGTTAGTTTATGAAGTAGATAATAATCTGCGAGTGAGTAGACGTTCTCACTAGGGAACCGTTGACATTTAAAATGAAAGTAATCTCTTTAAAAGAATATTACAGCGTACGTGGGTCGTCCTTCACTATTGTGCCGTATTACAGGTTCTGTTTCAAACAAAGTGGTGATTTTTTGGGAAGGATGTCTGCGTCGGAGTACCTTGGCGTACATGGTATATTTTGCACCCTTATCATAACTCCCATCACTCCCATATAGAGAATAATTACAATTACCAGAATCTTTCTCAATGGGATTCATCTCCTAACCATTTCACCCACATAGTTACCTGTCTCTGTTGTTTTCGTTCCCAGTGGTTGAATGTTTATAATATGACATTCCGACAGGCTAAATTTTAACATTTTATCCACTGCCAATTCGATGCGGTCCTTCTTAATTTCGAGTGAATCCTTTTCTCTTCTTATGAACGCCATGTTTCGACATCATTAGCGCATATGAAAGTTGTGGGGTAATTTTTCCAGAAAGTCGTCAGTAAGATTTGGGAAGGGGAATGGGTCATGAACCGCTCTTTGTGAAGCTGTTGAAGTTGAGACTCACCATATAACATGAACACTACTTTTTTCATTACGCAATGTCAGGTTCCGCAAGTAATTTTCAAACCAAGATAAAGGCGGACCTGTAAAGACCATACAGTTAATCTTCCCCTTGCTGAGTGCTTGCAATAGAGTAATATTACGAGGACCAGCGAGTTATCCAGCCGTCCATTTCTGGGTGAAGATTGAACATGGAAAACATGACTTTTTAACTAATGTTAGGCTTCATGAGGGACTTTCTTATTGTATGCGTATTTGCTTACTTAGTCACTGATCAATCCTTCGATTGCCTTCGAGCAGTATGACTAATCTGTCACAGAATGTATCTTCCATGTCTCCCCCTTTGAAGACTGAAGAAAGTAGTCTGCTTTCATTCTCATAGCATTTGTTGCGTCTTCAGTGAGTGCTTGAACAGGCAGCATATCAAAGTACTGCGGCAGTGATGTAGCTGGAGATACATACCCCCACTCTGCATCTTCTTTTGTGTTGCCTGTCATATCTATATAACTACATGCCCTATACGTTCAATATGTGGTCCATTACGTTAGAGGTCCAGGCATCCTACAAAACTATGATCTTTATTCCATGCACGAAGCACATGTTTTCGATCTCTCACTTTTCGTCCCTAGATCCTCTTACAGTGGTGTGAAGATTCTCAGCTGCCTTTTGCCTGATGTCGTGTTTCTAGACAGCGGCAGCTATATGTGCGCTTTGAGAAACGTTTCTCAGTTCTGTAAGAGTTAAGTGACATGAGTTTGTTTTCTTCGTGGTCAGTTCAGTCAGTGCGATTATGTTGATAGTGCCTTGTATTACAGGTTGCCGACCGAAGTCAATTGATTCAGAGTCATGCCCTTTAGAGCGATCAGTGGCTTCGTAGATAAATTAGCAGGGTTTGTATTATGGTTCTCTTGGACTACAACTGAAACTGTCACAGAGGCTGTTACTGAGTTTTCTGTACTTCATTGCTTTATGTATATATACGGAGCTTTATATTTCTTTTCGTTTGGTTCCCTTACCTGCAAATATACATACCAGAATCATTGACATATTTGACGTAAAACGAACCAATTGCACTGCTTGGGTACGGCACTGTTACATCGGACGTGAACTCACCTACACAAAAAACTACATTCGAATGCTGAGTTGCTGGTTTTACCTAGTAAGTGGGCATGCAACATGCGTTGTTGTTCTCTTCTTACTCATCAGGGTTACTTGGGCACATAACCCCCAGAATTGTCTCCTATTTATTTATTATTTATTTTAACACATAGATATTGGTACAAGGAAGCACCAAATACATATGCGACACACAAATCTCATTCGATATGTGTCAGGGCTGTGATACTGCCCGGGTGTTTAAACCAAAGCAGATGGTTTTCTTAGGTAGCCACTCCCCGAGCCTTCAACCTGAAGGTCTGATCCACAAGGCAGTGGAGCACCGTAAGGAGACGCAGTTCCATGGAAGCTGGTGACCAACAGTTGGTTCATACGCCATTTGTTCCTTCAGGATACTGGAGCCTATGTGCACCATTGGTTTGGAATGCGATTAAAGTGCCGGCCATTCGCTCTTCGTCCTTTCATTTTCGTGATCAACATCTCCGCCACGAGAAGGCAGTGAGTAGGACTTCTTTTTCAGAGGCTATATACGCGTGGTCATGTGAGAGCATTTGGAGAGGGAGAGCGGACTCTCCCCACTCTCGGCCGTACCAGGGCATTTGGGGGCAGAATTGTCTCCACGTTGCTGCAACTGCTGCTCCCGAATTAACTGTGTAATAATCGATGTTGTACATGGAGTTACTCAACATTAGTTTGAGCATCTATGTTTCGGCAAGAGTCAAAACATCTTTTCGGTAGATTATAACAACGATGAGCCTGAGAGAATGGTCAATCCTCCTTGCATGTGGCAAGTAATTGGTTTGTCTAATATCAACTCAATAATTGAATATTAAGCCCAGGATTGTCAAATGTTGTTGGTATTTTTGTTGACCGAGATCTCTGATGTTACTGAATAGAACCAACTACATCAAGGCTTTTAAAAGCCTTAAATCAAACAAGTTTGATTATACTTTCCTCTTTTTGTCTGTTCTAGTAATGGAGAGTGCATTCACGTCGCCCACCACTCGATTTCTGAGCTTATTTTACCATAAATACAGTTTATCGATACGAAAATCATTCGTTTTACACACCAGGCTAATGTGGACCGCAAGCAGTCTGGTGTCTTGCATTTGGCAGCACCAAACCGCAGGTTATGTACCATTTTCTCAGGAGAACCTATGGATAAGATGTCTTTCAAGTTGATAATAAAGTTGCAATCTGTAAAGTTTAATCTTTCAATCCTACAAATCACGATAGTTACCAACCGAATTTCGTGTGTCATGCTTCTGATCTGTGTGTTGCATGGTAACAATAGCAACCCACATGATTCATCTTAACTTTTGAGCAGACATTATCTCAGACGGCATGTGATTATTGATACGTTTCCGGCTTCATAAAATTGTTGTTTTTATAGTAAATTGTTACCTTTAGCGCAATCCACGTCTTATTTATATGTCCATGTATTTCCACGCCTATGCACCCTGTGTGTGTTGGTCTTTCACTCGTAATTTCATCCACTGTCTGTCTCTGTGATACATTACCTATCGTCTATTTCGGGGTGTAACTAGTAGCATAAAACTTGAGGTGCTGGCCATCTCTGTTCTGCTTTTTCATTTCGTCGCTTCTTTTGCCTGTTTGGAGCAACAAGATCATGAAATATACGTGACTAGGGTGTCTTCAGGCCACAAATCCATGATCGTTTGCTTCGAAAGACCTGTGTTTTGTAAAGTGCCTCCTCGTGTCTTTGAGTCATGTTACAGTTATTTTCAGCCCGTCTATCGAATTTTTAATCTTAAGAGACTTTGTAGGACAGCACATTTTACTTTGCTACCGTGTCTGTGAATTGAGACACTGTTTAAGGTCATTCGGACTCAGTCCAATGCAGGTTTTATTATGTTCTTTACCACAATCACTTTATAAGATGTCATAGGTGGCAAAACACTAATAACTGACGGAAACACATGCAGGAATACTGAAACCTTCTTCTGAAGACGACTATACAGAAAGACGCTAATGCAAAACAACAGAAAAACACAAGTGAGAAAACCCTTTCTAAAAACATCAAAAAGCAGACAGATATCAACCGAAGAGCTTTCAACTGAAATATGGTGAGTAGCTTTTGGTGAGCGAAACGGAATTAAAGTAATGTGACCAAAGTTTTCTACTTAAAGGGACGCGCGCAGTCCGAACCTCGCAACAAACAACCGAAGAGGCCCGAACCGGTTGGTATTTTGCACGCAGCCAATTTCCGCTAGGTCTTTCAAGAAGTTTCGTGGTTTAGTTACAAGTTCAAACAGTGAGCACTATCTGTTCGCACATTGTTTGATTCACTTAAATTTCAAACGAAACACGAGTCCGAAAATATCTTCCGGGCCAAAAAATAATCTACATTAAGCAAGCACAAAGAAATCAATCGGTTTATGCAAGATCTTGACCAAAATATTGGATATCGGATCACAAGGCTAACGAGTTTGGAGTTATATGTACATATCTTCATCCTGAATACTCAGTAAACATTGATTGTTTTCTAATGGCTCAAGAAAAAGAGTCTCTTGTGGAGTCTCATTGGCCTGATTTTCAACCTCAATCAAGCTCAGCGATGATCTACAGACGGGAAGTTATTCCTCGTCAACGAGCGTTATCTGCGTTACTAATTGGCTTGGGAATTATTGTAACATTGGTACTTTTACTGGTTTTATCCTACTTCATGCACATTTACTCGAGTGATCATTCACATATTAACAGTAAGTTTGGAACTAGATTCATTTTCTTGTTATTCTACTTTGATTTTTCTTTAAAATGCCAATTTGACATGATATTCTCAAGACATTCAAAAGTCAACATCCATTTATTCGGGCTTGGATTTCCTATACCGAGTTGTAACAGGTTGAGATAACTTACCGAAACACTGTACCAAGTACTTAGGACCATAATACTTAAAGGGAAATTCCATCTCAACACTTCTGAATATTCAAATGGTTGATAAAGACTGATTTTTCATTCGTATTATTAAGGGTTGTGTGTAAACCCACTAAATATATAATCATGCTAAATATCGTCTGTTAAGTATTTTGTTTGTTTTAATTCTAACTTGAGATTAATATCCATTTATTTGTAAGTTCGCCTCATATTTATAATATTGTAATGCATTTCACTTTCTCATAAGCTAAAGCAATAGGCGTCTTAAGTCGATGTAACAAACTTATGTTTGCTTGCTTCGTCTTGGTCTAGTCGTTCCTATCATTTTTCAATAGACTTCTATACCAACGAGCATGTTCATTTCCTAACTATTCGAGTCCATGGAAGGTATTTTGTATTCAATAGTTTAATTACATGGGAGTAAGACATATAAATAAATATCTGTGGCTTATTTCTGTTTATTTTGTGTTTCGTTGTTTACGACGGAGTTGCGAATGAATAACGAGCTACTGGATGATCTCTGTCAATAGTCTAAATTCACCAAAGTATTTTGTCAGTTGTTTTTATCACCTAACCTAGTGGTGGAACTACAATACAAATGTCAGTAATGATTGTACTAAAGTCTACCCCATCCACCAACTGACAAATAATAGCATTTTGGGAATAATTGCCGACTATTAATGTTCCCTTGATATTCCATTTTGGAATTCGCTACTGATGTATCTTACGTAGGCTTTTAATAAAAATATTTTAACAGCTTCATAATCGCGGCGTCCTAAACAGTCCTTGATAATCGCTACTTGGAAATAAGCGTTTTTGTTAACAAAATATATAAACTTCACTACTAAGAAAGGAAAAAACACACTAAATATGGTATTCTGTAAAGTTCAAAATTTATGGCAATACTTTACTGCCCTAAATCATTCCTGTAGTTCTGCTAATTTATAACAACCAAGTGATTTTTCCAAGTATTTTTCCTAAATACCCTTAGAAGTTTGCATTAAACTGGATTTGATTCTTGATTGCTTATAATTACGTTGAAACAAACTCGATACCACGGGGCGCATATTTATAACATGGGGTGTCAAAAAATAAAATCAAAAGCTGAAAATAATCTCAAAGAACGTACCAAAGTCACCTACAGTGAAAAGTTGCAGTAGAAGCTAGGATGTCTTTTCTCGAGTTGCGAGAACATTGATTAAGTTACTCGTCATGTTGTCGATTTCAAAAGTATTCAGAAAATTGCATAAGTAGTCGAAAATCTTAATTTTTGTATTTCATGTAATCATTTTGCAGTGGACCCCAAATGCACTGGTATGGCCGAGAGTGGGGTGGGCCCTCCCCCCTCTCGAAATGCTCTCACATGGCCACATGTATACAGCCTCTGTCAGGGAAGTCCTACTCACTGCCTTCTCGTGGCGGGGGTGTTGTTTACAAAAGTGAGAGGACGAAAAGCGAATGTCCCAAACCAATGATGTACATGGGCTCCAGTATCCTGCGGGAACAAATAGCGCATGAACCATCAGACTGCATCTCCTTACGTTGCTCCACTGCCTTGTGGATCAGACCTTTAGATCAAAGGCTCAGGGTGTGGCCCTCTAAGAAAACCACGTGCTTCGATCTGGGCACCCGGGGAGTATCACAGCCCTCACACAAATATGATGAACTGTCGATATTTATGGAAAATACTTGTCTTGCTTCGATTAACAATCAAACGATCCACATTATTATTATTATTATTATTATTATTATTATTATTATTGTTATTATTTACGTCATTTATTCATTCTCTTTTATTCCCACTCTGTCTATCCTTATTTTTCGACTTATACATCAGCTCGCCTATGGTGGAAACTCGGTTCTATCTAAACGTTCTCGAGTCACTGCCTTGTTGAGAATTGTATGCTACCACCAAATACGAATACTGAACAGGTTTTTTGAAACCACGTGCACCATCCAAACTGGCTACCTTCAACGTTCGCACACTTATGCAGGTCGGACAATAGATAGGGCTGGCTATGTCTTTGGAAAGTCTTAATATCGACGTTTGTTTTCTATCCGATACCCGTGTTCAAGGCTGTAGTGAAGTACTACAAATTCGCTCTCCATCTGTCGCTTCGAAAAGCTTGTTTTATGTGCGTTTATCTGGGACCCCGTGGCATCTTCGTCTGGTCCTGCTGGCGTTGGTTTTGTACTAAACGCTAGAGCTGAGGCAGCACTAATCGATCAGATCCCCATTAACAGTCGGTTATGTGCTGTTAGATTAGAGACTCCCATCAATGTGAGAAGAAATCGGCGTGAGAAACGATGTCTTTTCGTCATCTCCACCTGTGCTCCGACAGATTGCTGCCCGTATGCAATCAAGGATGAGTTTTACCACCAGTTATCTGTTTTTCTCCAGAAAGTGCGTTCGACAGATATTGTAGTACTAACCGGAGACTTGAATGCTCAGGTCGGGCGTCTAGGCACAGAAGAGAGTCGTTTAGGAGGCTGATGAGGACTTGTTGGTCGCAGGACAGATATCAGGGACCGTCTACTGCAACTATGCACAGACCACAACCTGTTTCTGGCTAGCACTATTTTTCGGCACAGTCATCACCGATATGCCACCTGGCGTCCCCCCTCTGCATCTCAAGCCTGGACTCAGATTGATCACATCGCGATCAGCTACCGCCGGCGTGGTTGTGTACAAGACTGCCACTCCTTTTGGAGTACCTATCTGGCCTCTGACCATGCCCTGGTCTGCGCCAATCTTACCTTACTTTTCAGTGGCCAACGAAGTGACCGCCACCAAAAGATTGATGTCAGCAAGCTGGTTTCAACTTCTGTTGCAAATAAGTATCGAACCGAGCTAGTTTCGAGGCTAGCTACCATCCCACCGAAAAGTATAGACGAGCATTGGTTGCAACTTCATGACGCCATGAAAATGGCGAGTAAAGCCGCTTAAAGCTTCGCGAAATGTTTTGCTTATAAGCATTGGGTTTCTTCAGGCTCCTTACAACTCACCGAAGCCCATCGGTCTACTCCGGGTGGCCGCGAGTTTAACCACAAACGAAGGATGTTACGCAATGAAATTAAGCAGAACTTGCGTAAAGACCGAGAAGCTTGGTGGTCGGAGTGTGCTAATGAGCTGGAAGCAGCAACTGCATCTGGTAACTACCGGGCCTAGATGACTTACCTCCGGCCCTTTTACCAACTTTGCTATCGATAACATTCTGGAAACAGCTCTGATGGATGTAAGTAATGGCGGTGTGGATCTGTTGCCTGGAGAAAGATTTCTCGACCTTGAGTATGCGGACGATACTGTCTTACTGTGCGATAATGCCCAAGGCATGCAATCCGCACTTAATCAGTTGGCAATCAGTGTCCGTAGGTATGGTATGTGCTTTGCACCTTCGAAGTGCAAAGTACTTCTACAAGACTGGCAGGATTCCAATCCTGTACTCACCCTGGATGGTGAGCAGATAGAAGTAGTCGAGAAGTTCGTGTATCTGGGTAGCTGCATAAGTGCTGGTGGGGGTGTGAGTGATGAGATCAACGCACGTATAGTGAAAGCCAGAGCGGCTTATGCCAATCTGGGCGATCTTTGGCGCCTTCGTGGTGTTAGTCTGGCTGTAAAAGGTCGGATCTACAACGCGTCGGTGAGAGCAGTTTTGCTCTATGCTTGTGAAACCTGGCCTCTCCGAGTTCAGGATGTTAGACGACTTTCTGTGTTCGATCATCGCCGTCTCCGAAGGATTGCTGACATTCAGTGGCAACACCATGTTAGTAATGCAGAGGTTCGACATCGTGTGTTCGGGCACAGAGATGATAATGCAATTGGTGTCACCATCTTGAAACACCGACTTCGGTGGCTTGGACATGTTTTAAGAGTTTCGTCCCAGAGAATTCCACGTCGTGCATTATTTGCTGACTCTGGGACTGGTTGGAAAAAACGGAGAGGTGGTCAGTGTATGACATGGTGTCGTGGTATGAAGGAAAACTGCAAAGGACTGGCTTCTGTTGGACCTTCACGACTCCCTGGCTGTTGTCTCTAGCCTGTCATGAAGAACTAGTCAAGCTGGATTTGTTGGAACATTTCGTGTTCTATCATGCCAGTCAGTTTAATAAGATAGTGGTCTGACCAAAAGCAATTAATCTGAAGATTGTGGGTAAAGTCGGACAACTGAATTCTTGGATATGTATCTGATAAATAGTTAGCACGCCAATATCCCAAACTACATGTTACAGCATTTAGTATCCGAACCATATTTCGAATCGAGCAACAGGATTTATCAGCTAAAACTGATCTTGTGCCATAATGGATACTTTGTCTATCAAACTGAGATACAATATCTTGCAGTGGTCATTCATCAAACCCCATCCAACTAATGTGGAGATGGTGTATATCTAAAGACTTGACATCAAATTTCGTGATCGTGCTGATGTAAGTATACCCATAGATTCAAAAGACAAATAAGCTCTTTCTGAACGGAGTCCTATCCATAATAGCGTGAGCTCAGCCTCATCGAATGGTAACGCAAAAAAAGGAATATACACTTCCCCTTTGTTGTTTCTTGCTATCTCCTCACTCACTGCACGTCTTATGGGGTAAAAGTTAGGTTTCCTGGCTTTTAGAAGATCAGGTGTTCATATGTAATTGTAGCCTAAGTCTGTAGGCTAAACCAACCTATATCTTCGCCACTTAACCCAAGGAACAGATAACAGCCATCATCTGTTGTATATGTATTCAGAAAACCGTTTATTCATATTAAGTACCAACTTTAAGGTCTGATAGAAGCTTGGTACTTTATGGAGAATATGTTTGAACACATGATCTAGTAAGAGGAGAAATTTTACTTTATATCAAAAATTCACAACAGGAATTCCTTGGAGAGTTCACTTCGAAAAAGCAAAGGTCAAGTATAGATATTCCGTTGACTTTATTGTTAGGAATATTCGAATATGAATTTCATCTATTTAAATGTTAAAAGTGTTGTGGTTTTCCCTAATTCACAATGTTCTGTAATTTTTAATTAAAAGGTTTATGGGTTTAATACAAGGTAGTTTATGAAATCGTGAAAATCAACAAGCCACTAAACTGTGAAATTTCGTCTGATTCCTAACTATCCTTTTTTTTTAAAAACACACCCTTGTCAATCTGTTGCATAAGTCTATAACAGTAAGAAAAGAAAGCCCGATAATCAAATACTTCTATTCCTTTTCATGTCTATCTTGATTTACATTCCCTAATTATTATTTCCTCATTATCTCTTCACATTTATTTAGTGCACGATTCACTAAATCCAATTTGTTTATTACCAAGATTAACTGGTAAATGTCGTGCAAAATTTCATCGTTGGGGTTGGAATCCACAAAAAACAATCTGTGAAGAATTCATCTATGGTGGTTGTAATGCAAATGAAAATAATTTTTTAACCAAAGAAGAATGTGAAGCAGTATGTAAGATTACAGTTTACATATAAATTCATTATACTAATATATAAGTGGTCATTTTATCGAAGTATTATTTCTCTATCCCTTTCTCCGTAAACTATCACTTATTTTATTATGTCATTTCATCTAGTTTTTGTTATCAAAATGATTGAGATCATCAAAGCTTTCCGACTATTATAATCTACATTCATTTCAATATTATACTCATAAGCATATTTCTATTGAGGCAAGTTAGGTAAATGGTATATCACTATGGTAGTTGTTTAAGGACATTGATATTCTACTAAAACGATGATATTCTCACTTGGAAACTACATATCTAATTGATTTAAATAACTTTGTGATATCAAGTTTTACTTTTTGTTACTTTTTAAATTGTCTCTTTTATCATTGTATTCTTATAATCTTGTATTTTATTCTCGTCTCTCTGTTTTTGTTAAACAAATAATAATGTAAAAGCCTAATTTCAGAGAAAAACTTCTTCTTATGAAAGTGAATACATTTGTGCCATGTCATCGGACAGTCAATCACTAGTTCCAATCATCGTATGGATCCTGACTGATTGATCTACACCTTACATTAACTTATTTCAGCTGTCAATGACTCCATGGTTTAATGGCACGTTCTGATCTGGGTTATTCTAGTTTTCTGATAGCCTACTCATCCACCATATATCATCGCCTCCTGAGGTATACGGTGGTTAGGCACATGTAATGCATGAAGATGATGCTGTTTCGTAAATTGATAAAATAGGAAAGTGTGGACCTGACCCAGTAGTTCGTCGCATTTTCTTCTTGACCTGAAAGGTTTGGTATGGTAGGTAGCTGGAAAGGTATGCTCCACACAAATTAAATGACAATATTATGAACAAGAAGGGAGAGAGATTGTACAATCTATAAATGAATGAAAAAGAACTGTATTTAATAACATGAAATTCAGCGAGAAATAATCAATAAAAGGGTTTTTTCGGTTGGGTTTCTCATGTCCTTATGAAAAATACGTAAGAAAATTGTAGCAGAATTACTATTGGCTTATGTTTTGAACCACATCTGATAGCGCTTCAAGTCAGAGCTGCGCGACCTCTAGGACTTTAAACAAAGAGTCCTGAAGAGATGACAGACACTAGCCTCACACGACTTTCACATCATGACCCCTTTTGGTAGCCACTCACCTCTCCGGTTCCCACATCAAGTCCCAACAACGTGAATGTCGTCGGCGTGCACTGATATGATGCTCCAATGTAAGAGGTCTTCGCTCTTGGTTTTCCAGTTCCTGTTGGTTTGTGATAACATTTATTCGGGCTCAACATATTATTTGGTAGTGTAGTTTATTATAGGGCTGCAACGGCACTTTGGGTCTCCAAAAATAGGTTTTTTGAGCAGTGTTATTTACTTATCCGTACTTATTAGTATCACACGAAACCATGAAATGTCTTATTTTGTGAGCAGAGCATTATGAAATGATAGTTCACAAGTAGAGAGCATTACGTCCAGTTTTTTATATTGTTTACTTCACTTTTGCTACAAATTTCGTTATTTTCAACAACAAAATCATCCTACAGAATGTCATTCGAAATTACCAGTTTATGATACGTATAAGTGCCTTCTCTTAGTGGAGGAATTAATTTTCCGAATTTATTCATTAGTAACAAATAATCCACATCATACTGTCTATTTCTAAATGTTGATCAAAGCACTATCAACTTAGTTTTTAAGTCAATTTTGAAATCAATGTTTACTGTCATGATGACTGAATGATGTTGATTTGACATATCTATTCGATTTTTTAAAAAAAAACAATGCTCTTTTATTTTGACTAACTTTTATCGATCGCTTAACACCATTCTGGTTTTTGGTGTAATCAAATAATAGTCAAGTGCTTCCTGCTGTTACGAAGGTCAATGAACAGCTTTCAGTGGGTCTATTATAACAAACCTGAGAAAACGAATGCAATTTGACGAGTAGTCGAATGATTGGTTATGCAAATATATTTAGTAAAGATGATTTTCAGCACTGTAGATCACCATTCCATAAATAGAACTATAGTATTCTATTTGTATAAGGTTAGTGTCTACATGGATACGGATGCTTGAAGTGTTAATGGGTACTCTCAATACTGGTTTATTGACTAAAACTTTAGAATGAACTGATATCAAAAGTACAGCCACTAGCCAGAGGAATAGATTTTTTTAATAATATAACGTGTTTATATGCAAAATGATAATACAAAAGTATTTGAAAACTTGGTTAACCAAAATCGATAAGTGAGTGAATGTTGGTTAAGAAGTTGTGTATAAATGCAAGACATTCATTTATAATGAGGAATAAGCCCATGAATACTTGCTGAGAAAAACCTAGAGTATCCGATTTGATAGATTTAATCCGTTTTTAATTCAAAGCTATCTTATATATTGTAGGACCAGTGAGTCATAACTAAACAATATTTAACTTGTCAATTTTCGTTTATGGGCATCACTGTGCTACTTTTTTCACATAACCATTTTGAATAAAATCGACTAGGAAGAGCTCCTTAAGATTTTCCAACTAACTGCATGCGATGAAAATTCATGCGAGCATGAAACCTTAAATGATTTCCACTAAACATAAATATTCCAGGTATTGCGTAATCTCCATTCTGTTTAAATCTAATATTTGACAAACAGTATTAGCAATGATTCTCACTAATTCCATAGAAATTTACCTTTAAAAGTGAATACTGTCAGTTATTATTATTTTAGACCACATAGCAAGAGTCAAGCATGCGGATTCTAATAGCTGGAACTACTTACTTATCAGCTAACTAATAAATAACAATCTACGTAATCTAATGCAATTCTTAATCAGCAAACTACGAGAAAATCAATGCGTATACTATATTGTTGCCCCCAAATGCCCTGGTACAGCCGAGAGTAGGGAGAGTCCGCTCTCCTCGAAATGCTCTCACATGGCCGCGCGTATATAGCCTCTGCCAGGGAAGTCCTACTCGCTGCCTTCTCGTGGCGTTACTGTTGTTGACGAAATTGAGAGGACGAAAAACGAATGTCCGGCGCTCTAACCGGGTTAGTGGACATGGAGAGTCCACATAGGGGAGTTGGAAAACCCTGATTCCAAACCAATGGTGCACATGGGCTCCAGTATCCTGAGTGAGCGAATGGCGTATGAACCAATCGTTGGTCACCGGCTACCATGGGATTGCATCTCCACGATGCTCCATTGCCTTGTGGATCAGACCTTTAGGTCAAAGGCTCCGAGTGTGGCCCCTAAGAAAACCACCTGCTTCAGTTTGGGCACCCGGGCAGTATCACAGCCCTCACATATATCAAATGAGATTTGTGTGGCACATATATATTTGGTGCCCCTTTGTACCAATATCTGTGTCAAAATAAATAAATACAGAGTAGACTTGATTAACTACTTGGAAATTTTTAAGTAGTATAATTCGGAAATAAGATACTCAGCTTTGGTATATGTTATCAGAAACCAAAATCTAGTTTCGAAGTACTAACTTTATTTTGCCATTACATTTAACGACCAGAGATCATGTTTGATGTTGAAAGTATCACTGAAGATTTATAAGTTTGTACAACCAATATGGGAGGTTTCATAAAGGCTAAACTAAAATAATCTAATGCCACAAACAAAATTTAAAAGATCTAAATTAACTAAATCATAGGATACTGATTAGTTTGAAAATATGATTCACCATAGTGGCTATCAGGACTCAATAGCTAAGTGGATAACGCGATGACGTTTGAAGCGAACGGTATTGAGTTCGAGCCTCAGAGTGAACATCAATTCTGAGGTGCAGGTACATCCAGCTGACAAGTCCCAAACAGGGCGAAACACGCGTCCTGGATTCCGCTGCTAGCCATTATCCATCTTCGCATATCACCATAGTATCCGTTTGTGATCAAACGGCCACCCATTACTTCCAGGTTTTCAATGGTGACCTAGCTTCAACTGACTCATGATCTCAAGTATTAACATTACCATAATATCCACAAAACCCCTTCTGATACATTAGAACTAAACCAAGATGGCGTTAAGATAACTTTATCCACCAGTGGCAATCAACAATAAAAATTTAAGTTGGGAGAAACAGACATCAAAACCACCCCTATTAAGACGCATATTTTATATGTCGGATTTATGCTAACAGACCTCTGGCGATTTTTGTTTCATGATCCCACATTAATAGCAAAAGCAAACTGAAGGCCCACAGGTCATGAAACTCAGTGACACAAGTAGTCTCTAGACTAAGAATACAAGCGACTTGGATGTAGTTTCCTACTGTATTCTTTATAAACAGTATTATGAAATCCGTCTTGTCTGTGGTATTACTCAGTTTTCATAGCTTCACATATCGTACCCTTTTTTATAAATGTAATGACGAGTCATACACTTTTTCCTCATCCAAATGATCACAATCATGTCATTGTGTTTTGTGTAACCCATTCCTTGGTGTTTTATTGTTTAAAATCTTCCGCATGAAAATAATAACATGACAAATTTAAATATATACAGTATAATTTCCTTTTTAGGACATTATAATAATTGCACATGACAGTCTCATTTCACTCTGTTATATGTTCAAGAATACCTTGACGAATTAAAGCCTCACAATCGGTTCGATGCATTAAATGATGACTACCTTTTGTTAAATGTAAAATACTGCCATCCTCTGTTTCGAATTCGCCAAAATCTTGAAGACAACGGACTTCTAGAAATAATGATTTTGGTGGTGTGCGATATTGTGTTAAATCTAGCATTCCACCGCCTCCACGTTCCGATCCATCAGCCTGCATGAAGTTTGCCAAACAACTACAATAGTGTTTAAACCATGCTTGTTCCGCTTCCGATAAATTATCACGGATATCTAAGTTTAAAAGATGTATTGTACATATTGATGAAGGAAATCAAGGATAATGTTTATATGTAAGGAATTTTGATTGTCCAGATCAAATGTCCATTATTCAAAACTTAGAGGTGAATAAATATAATTATGACAAACCTACCTTGAGACTAACATGAATATTGGACGGGTCTTTTAGATAAAGTGGAAGTCCAATATTCCTAAAATGCGTCTCAACTAACCACTGTCTCGAGCAACGTAATGTTATAGCTAGAGTTTGAGCCATTTCGAAAATGCAATGAGAATATAAAGGTTATGAATATTATGTGATATATTTGCACAATACATTTCGAACAATCTGAATCACACATACTTGCTAAGACATTCTTATATGAAAACTATAAGGTCAACTAGACAGATTAATAATAAGCCGTAACAAAGAAAAATAAACTACACAAAAACAATGTGATAACCACGCTGGATAATAAATCGGTACTACTAGGGTAGGTTAAGGGTAAGAACAAATTGTTTTTTGGAAGACATGAAGGGGATTTCAGTTTCCGTATAGTCAAGGTTTCAATGAACCTTAGTATAAGTCCTTGAAGGCTTTTGTACAAACGGTTCATATTTATCCCCTATGATTATGATGTCATCAACGTACCTTTTATACAGACACACCTTTTGAATTGAGTCTTCAGCTAGATTCTCAACACATCCCATAAATACATCAGCGAGAAACCGTCCCAAAAAGCTACCCATAGCTACACCATCGATTTGTCGAAAGTGCTCACCCTCAAAAGTGAATTTCACATTGTCAGTTCACAATAATTGTAAATGTTTAAGAGTTTTCACAGTAAATGGCAATGGAAAGTTATTCAATGAGATATAGTCACACAAAATATCAATAGTTTTTCTAAGAGGTACATTTGTAAATAAAATGTTCACATTAAAGGAGCTCATTTTCTTTGTTTTTACATTCATATCCATTAAGTACTTAATTAATCCACATGAGTCAATCAAAGAATACTTACAAAATTGATTTCGGATAGCGTCTAATACTTCTATAAACCATTTTGCAAGGTTTTGCGTATGTGACCGATATATTGATGGGACTAGATGTTAAATTGTCAAACATGAATTCTATTAATAAAGATGAGTTTAATTTATTAAGACCTATAAGTTTGGTGTACCCCAGTTTATATGGATAACTAAAAATTCATAGGTCTAATACCCACTTACGTCCAATCCTATCAATGTGTCTTCAAGGACGTATACTAAGGTTCATTGAAACCTTGGCTATACGGAAAATGGAATCCCCTTCATGTCTTCCAAAAAACGATTTGTTCTTTCTACGAACTAATTCTTTCTTCCTATACTATATCCTTATTGCAACCTTTGACCTAACCACTCCTATGAATCCGGTGTTCATCCTGCTGTGCTAATGAGGTATGGCAACCTGGACCGATGCACATATGTGCCTGGTCCTACGTTGTAGCTGACTGACTGACTGACCCTTAACCTACCCTAGTAATACTGATTTATTATTCAGCGTGGTTATCACATCGTTTTTGTGTACTTTATTTTTCTTTGTTACGGCTTATTATTAATCTGTTTAGTTGACCTTATAGTTTTCATATAAGAATGTCTTAGCAAGTATGTGTGATTCAGATTGTTCGAAATGTATTGTGCAAATATATCACATAATCCTCGTAACCTTCGTTTTCTCTTTGCCTTGTCGAAACTTATCAAATGAACTAATTGTTTTAAATTTCTGAAAAGAAAACTCTCTGTACAAGTTGAGTTGTTATTAATCAACCGTACAACATCTTAATGTACATGACTAATCAATATTTTGTCAGCTCACTTCACGTATTTTGACTGAGAATGATGAGTTTAAAATATTTCTTGCTTTGAGGAAAAAGTGCATTATCCAGACGGGTAGTTTATTAAATAGAAAACTGCAGTCATTCAAACAACTTTATTTACATATTACTGCTGCGTTGTTACTGAATCTCACATCAATGTAAATAGAGCTGGACAGAAAACTTTTTCGTTGGTGGGATAGAGGTCTCTTTTCGGTAGGGAATTGTTGATTTCAAATATAATCTACGTTCCGTTCAATTACAATGGTTTAAACATTCAGATATTGTTGCGATTTTAACTCAATGATTAAACTGCTAGTATCCTACATCCTAACAAATTTCAGGTTTTAAATGTCTCAATTAGATTTGGGAAATCAGGAAGTATGTATGCTCTCCAGTCTCACAAATTGTAATCCAAAAGCGAGTACATAGATTCGTACTTCGTTACAGAGTTCCAGTGTATACTAAGCATGACGATAGACCAGGAATTGTTTACTACATGAACCCTGATAATACTGACTAGCTTTGGGACTGCAGAAAATACACTAACGGAATCCGTACACACATCCAGTTCCAGCAGTTATATTATCAATTATCCAAATTAAATCATAACGTTATAGTAGCTTTAGGTCTAAAGGGATACTTCTGTTGTTTCATTTCTGTATTAGAAAGAGTTATGTGCAGAGGTACTAACAAGTATGAACTTATGACATTTTGTGTACAAAAATCTACTTCAAAGTGATAAGTTACAAAAAATAGCGTAGTATAACGAAATTACTATTACCTTTAGGTAAAATGATACCATATTCCCACCGTAGTTCTTTGATCCGCATTAATCTAGCATGGTGATAGGCAAGAAGACAACGTTTATTACGTTCCAAGATAGCATGTCTGACTAAAACAGATTGAATTTTATTACTATGATCATCTGTTTCATATAATGATGATGATGGCCCAGACGACGAGTTAGATACAAGGGCTACATCACGATGATTTGCATCATATAGTACTCGCATTTCTTCCAAACAAATTCGGATTTTATCTTCACCATAAGGAGGTAATTTGCTTTGTTGGGAGCGTTTTAATTCCTTTACTAGTTGGAGGCTGGTTTGAGCTAGCATCAGTAGTCGACAAAGGGTAAGATGTTAACAGTCACACAAAGTGCTTCAGGCTGAAAGCGAGGTAAAACTTGGTGTTAGGAAGGCGCTAAGTATACTAGCGAGGGCGTACCTAAGTTGTATTTCTTCAAGGAAAAATAAGTGTAGTGAATTTATATTATAATTATATACATAAGGGCTTCAGATACATGTACTGAAGCAAACTGCATGTTAGATGTAGCTTACTGATAAGTCTATTGTAGCGTTATGTTGGGGATAATGTCTATTCAAATTCCTCCGTACATTGGGATCCAGGTATTAGATCTTAATACTGGACAGAATTTGGCGATCTACATAGTGAAAGACAAAATCTAGATAAAAATAAAGACCTAAGTGGTAGAACAGATTCTTTTATAGAAAAACACTAGTTTCCCTCGTATTTTAAACACATAACTTCTAGGCGGTTCAGGAAGAGTAAAATGCCATTGGATACTATACTTCAGACACCGAGATTTTGAAACTTTAAACTCCCTAATAGCCTATCAATATATAGATCATCGAAAGAACGACGCTGAAAAAGTAACGGGAGATAAGTGTCTTGATCACACGTAGCGTATGTATTTTCCAAGACCCACACCCAGTTTTCGCTACCTTAAAAATAATTAAATATCAGGTTGCGTGATGTTTTAGTTGAGTGTAACTCTGACAAAATGACAAACATACTCTTATTAGATGTTTCGAAAGGGGATTAGAATCACAAGGACATTCTGTATAATCTTATTTTTATGTGACATAATTACATCCTGATTTTGTTTTCCTGACCTATTTTAATAAATTTTACGTTTCAACAAAGGAATCCCCCAGAAGGCTATCAATGATGAGAATCCATACCAATATTCTAAGGCACACTCTATCAAAACCTAGTTTCAAGTACTACCCTGTTTGGCTTCATGAGTGTCATCTCTAAATACTACAGAATATTCGGCTAAAGTATAATATAATAAAAACTCTAAGGAGTGATAGTCCTAACTCACAACATTACCCCGACTCCTAACCTGCAAAACTTAAACTTCCTTTTACTAAAAAGTGATTGGGCATGTAAAGGTTGGTTACGATCACAGAGATAACCTGATTGTTATAATATTGCTTTTTGCTGCCAATTCTTTTGTAACTAAGCAGCGTTCTCGAAAAGGCTGATAGGTTCCTCAGTCGTCAATATACTATATCTTAAACAGTTAACCCTAGAAAGACTTTGAGTGAATGAAGTTACGGGTTGAATGGATTTAATGTTTCATTGCAATCACGACTGTGCTAGGAGAGCTCCTCGGTAAAAAGAAATCTGGAGAAAATTTATGCTAAAGGTACGAATTTCGAGAAATTAGTTAAGGTGGAAATCTCGTTATTTATCCGAGAAAAAGGAATAGGATGAAAAAATTGTTGCATGTTGACAAAATTTTACATGAAATTTCACTACAGGATATTGCCTAAAATCCTAGAAAATCGCCTTTATTTACATTAAGCTTGATCGGGATTAAACATGTGTTTCTTATGCGTATCCTGAGCTATTAGCTCGTTTATTCTCATATACTTCTATCCTTTAGATTTTCACAATCATGACGCATTTCAGACTTCCATAGAAAACAACGTACCTAGGAAAAGGATACAAAACCATAAAACCTTGACACTGTAGCGTTCTTCTCAAAAGCTCAACGGGATAATTTACCACCTAAATTTGCTTTTAATTGACGCACAATAATAAACACTTTCACACCTAAACTGTTGAACTTTTCATAATCTTTGCTCCTTTAGGGTATAACCTGAGTATTTCTGGAGCTGATCAAACAAGATTTGTCCGGTCAGTATAAATCCAACTTGAGGATAGTTTTTCGTCTTTATTCATATTGTCATGACTTTATTTCATTTTTAGACCTTCTTTATTGGGTATGAGGTTCTGTTCAACTTCACACGCAGATTTTCTGCAAAGCGCAGTTGCATAACATGCTCACTTTATCCTTGTAATCATTCAGAACCGTACATCAACGGTGTACTTCCATCATCATTGCATTGTATTTCGTCCTGTGTTCTATTTCGCTCATTTTGTAGAACTGCTGAAGTTGTTGAAGTCTAGCATAGCATAAATACTTGATAAAGAGCATCTCTGTGACAGGCCTGTACTAACCGATTGATTTCTTTTCGCTCACTTGTTGTTCCTTTACGATTCCAGGTACTTGGTAATGTTGAATTCGTGATAGTCTCGCCACTCAACCGAGATGATTATGGTCGATTTCGCAGTTATCATATCTTGTAATTTATGGGCGTCTGTCTCAAGGCAGTAGTGATCCTGGATACCGTTAACTTTCACATTACTAGACAGGAAGTTGTCTTGTAAAGTAAACAATAGTGAAAAAAATTTCGGCTATCAAGAGAGAATGGTTGATTCAAGAAATTATCAACGAATGAGTTGAATAATCGGTAAGATGGACGGAGTAAAAAGGCCGAAATGTAATAATGAAGGGAGAAACCGGATGATAAGAAACATGCTAGAAAGTAGCTACTGATATTTGACAATGATATTAGCACATAGATATCAATGCCAATATTGGTCTTGATAGTTTCGAATAAATTGAGCGTTGTGCTGAAAGTTAATAAGAAATATGCCTTTTGTCACATCCCAAGGAGTATAACAAATGCACTTCTGACGTTTAACGGTTTAATGTAAGTCACTTATAGATAAGTAAATAAACGAATTATTATATTTCACTGTTAGCTCCTTCGTTATGTCATATAGTTGTCTCATTTCCTTCTCTCGCAGTTTCTTCCGCAGTCGTCGCTAACTCTTCTGCCTGTCAGCTCAAGCACTCCTCTTCACTTGTTTGTTTGCTTTTGAGTATTCAGCAGAATGATCAGATCTTTTCCTTGGTTGGGCACTTCGCTGTGACTGATTGCAGCCTCTCATAGAACTTATATTTATTGTCGTCGTTGCTATCATTGGTGGGTGAATGACATTGGATAACATTCATCATGATCCCCTCCTTCGTTTTGAAGGTTGCTTTGATGATCATGGATCCGTGAGTACATTTCGTGCTTCTTTGGACAGCATCAAAGCAACTTCCTGAGTGTGTGGAGCAGTTTCCTCTTCATGACCGGAATACAGCAGCATCTATCCCGTATCTAGCCTTTGCTGTCCAGCTTGGGTCCAATGGGTTTCGCTAATTTTGAGTACTGTCAATTTGTATCTTCTCATTTCCGTTACTATTTCACTGGTCCTATCGGTCTCTCATGTTGTCCGGCTGTTTCATGTACCCACAGAAATTGTTGCTGTAGTAGTTCGAAGGGGCATCAGCCTCGTGACTTTCAAACAATTTCGGCTTTCATCCCGAGGCGTCATAACTCTTGTTTCACTTCAGAAGACAGGGTTCTAATGGTTTAATTTATTTATTCTGGTTGGCGTTTTTTAGTAAGATTTTTTCTGCTGGATGGGGATGCGGACCATATGTCCATCCCTCACTCTTTTTGTGAGCTTGGGACCGACAGTAACTCTAGAAAATCTACAGGTAGAGTTTCTGTTCACCTCGATGCGAGACATTCTGTTTTCTTGGTAGTTTTGGAGCCAAGATAAACGTTGGTCGTTAAAACCCATGTTTAACACCTTTTCCATGAGCAGTACATGTAGTCTTACGCCAAAGGCTTTAGCGAAATCGTGGAATATTAGATGAGTTGTTAGCTGTGATTGTCATAGAAAGTTCGTCCACTTTGTCGAAAGTTTATTTTCATCATGATCCGATGAGTGATGGCTACAGCAGTGAAAACATATGATAGAATATTGTCATCGTTTGCTTCTTCGTATTTCAGCTTTGTTACTGGTTTTGGTTTAGTTCTTGGGAGCCGTAAATACTATGAACAAACGTTTTAATGGCCATTATTTTGTTTATTCACATATCATGAAATTACGTCGTACGAAATGGCTGGCATTTTGCGAGTGAGCGATGATGGTAACAGAGATGCCACTCACTTCGAATGACAGGCTTGTAAAAGAACTTGCGCTATTCTCTTTAATATTTTCCAGATTCATCCTTTTATTTGGACAGTGACAGTTATCAAATAACTTGTGAGATGGTGTATCGGCTTCATTTATTTAACTGTTCAAATTGTTTTAACGGATACGGCCAAGCAAACAAGACGGGCAAAACCATCAAAATGTAGTAGGCCGTATGGATTGGGAGTCATTCATTATCTTAAAATAGTTCTAGTAATTTATATATGGCAGGACAGTGTTATGAATAGATACATATGTCTTGATCTGTCAATTTTAAGCCAATTGTAATGCTCTCTGGAGAATCAGCAACTCTTCGGCACTAATTCTTTGTAAGACACTTATATGTATGTTCTAATTCCAGGTCGGTGCTCTAGGAAACTCTAAACACAATTAGTTAGCACCCAATCACATATTGACTTTTTTCAAGTCCATCTATTTAAAGATGAATTGCGATGTACACTAACGGTAAACCTTGTTTTTGATATTTATACGGAACAGAAAGAGCGATAGCATGCTGAGAAATCGTTTAATTCTTTTTGGTTTAATATTGATTCAACATACCGCAATGTCAACACCTAATGCGATGTATTGAAATAGGTTACTGTCAAATAATGACACTTCCCAAGAAAGAATTAGATAATTCTGGTGGGCACTTTTTGTCTGTGTGAAGTTTTTAAGAGAATTTATCATAAGGGGAGGTGCTCGCACCTGTAGGATGTTTGAATAAGATGAATACCCTGAGACAGATGGGATTTATGCATATGAAAACCACCGAATTCACTTGTCTGTTCACAGAATACAATACGCGCAGTTACATTTTACAGTACTAGCCCGTACAGCTGGTGGAGTTGGAGTATTGCTTGTGAATATATGTGTAATATCTAAAATCACTAGTTTGCCCCACATCCACACCAATCAAATGTTACTATGCACATACTACTATAATTATATGTAACAACGACTCTTAGCAATTAATTCCTCAGAACACTTCTGTTTACACTAACGCGCTGGAATGTGCCCCGAAGATTTGAGTGGGATCATTATAATAACAATCGTACAGTATTGGGTAATTAGTGTCCTGGACATTTTGACTACTTCACATAAGTCATTATAGTGACGTTATCCCTTCGGTTCTTTTATTCCCTTGTTGCAATAGTTTGGCTATGTTGTTCACAAGCGATACAATTCCACCAGGTCATGTCCATCTACATAGTGTTATTTCATTACATATATTCATTCTATACTTCACTTTTTATGTCATCAGATAGCACTATTCTTGTTTCACATTTATTAACTTCTAACAAAAAAACTTAACATGAACTCAATGTGTTTTGCATAAACTAAGCTGTGACTTCAGTGAGTTGTCAAGTGCAGATGTAGTAAAAAGAATAAGCTGAAAAAACTCTTCAACGTGTTTTATTAGACATTGTTGCCATTTCTTTACTACTTAGTTTTATTTTCTGCATTAACTTTTACTCAAGACTCTTCCAAGCATTTTTCATGTCCCCAAGTCTTCGCTTTGTCTTTTTTATTTGAATTTGGATAAGTTCCACATTTTTGTCTCATTTTGTTGTTATATTTCACGAGGTCATTGGCAATAAGGCTATGTTTGGCTAAACTCAGAGTTACTGCTTGGGTCGGTCGATGATTGTTTTTTTTTACTGTCTAGATAGGCAGATACATGACCCATACCATCTGAAATATTCGCATTGATTACCTGGAATCAAACACTCAATACGATATTTTGTGATACTGCAACACTTTAATACAAAATATAGGCTGCACTGTTTGGACTGTTTTGTAATTCTGGCGTAATTAATTTTTGCTCTTAAACTAGAACCGATTAGTTTAGGCGCATAGTTTGTGTTTTAATGTAACTTATTACGAGAAACTCAAGAAGGTTTTGTACTTCATCCAGAAAAGAGTGATTCGGTCTGATGGAACGAACTTCATTGCCTTAGTTCTCCATTGAGGCCAACTATTGTAGCTTTCGCTGTTATATCGGGTGGGCAATTTTCCACTTACTTTAGATATACCTCAATAGATAACGTAAGCAAACGTAGGTCCTTTTAATTAAATAGTTACGCAGATCCGTCTTCAGTGACAAGTTAAGTAGACCAGTCGAAGTGTTTTCAACATTACTGTGAAACTTATTTGATGAAGTTTGTAGTACCTGTTTGGTTAGAACTTCCCAATAGTTTAACACATGATGAGAAAAGGGAAATCCAATTTTGATGTAAGATATCTTTGTTATGAGCCAGTGGAAACCAGAATATATATCCGCTCTCGCATCTTGATATTAAGAATAACTTGGTATTTGCACATTTCAGTGTGGGTAGTCTAGTCATTTTCCGCCAGCAGTCGCTCGTCGCAACGCGGCTTTTATTAGGCGCGCGGACTCATATACTGAACATTCGAGTCAACCAACATTCATATTCAAATGTGAGGAAGTTTGTTCCTCTGTTTCTATGAACAGTATTTTTTATCACATGTCAACCACACTGAATATCTTAAAACGATAACCCCTATAGCATTTGTAACTATTTGATCTTGCCTGTAAACTGGAATACCTCGTGCAACACATTGTTATTTGATAATGTATCATTATTGTTTATGATCGCTTATGTAGGTAATCT